CAGGGTGTCTGTTGTGGGGAGGGGAAGGGAAAGGAGTTTGTAAGCCGCTCTGAGACACCTTCGGGTAGTGAAGGGCGGGGTATAAATCCAGTCTCCTCCTCCTCCTCTTCTTTTGATAAGCTTTTCTTGGCTCCCGTAGAGCTTTTCAGTGATACTCTCCATGGTTCCCTCTCCCCACCCCCAGGCAGGAAGGCGATAGTATGAACAGCCGTTCGGTTTCCTTTCAGACCTAAGAAGTCTCCAGCAGTGTTCCCTCTAAGCTGAGTTAGTGTGAGCTAGCTCACAGTGTTTTAGCCTCTGGCTCACAGTTTTTTTTTTCTCAGCTCAGGAAGGATGGGGCTCCAGAGCACACTGATTTAATGCAGCAGCCAAATTGCTCACTCAGAACTTCAATGCCAGTTGCTCACAAAGTAGAATTTTTGCTCACAAGACTCCACAGCTTAGAGGGAACATTGGTCTCCAGTGTTACCTCTTGGGATTGCGTCTAACGCCCAAGCACCCTAGATTAACCCTGTGACTGTTAACAACAATCTGTACAGTCCGCCTCTGAACTGTTCATTCTCTTCTGTCGATCTGACTGGTAGTTCCTGAAGGGGGTGGATGCATCTCGGTCTGGTGTCTCAGCGTTGACTGTCCTGCCTTGAGTGACTCTCCTTGGAATGTAGCCTCTTAACTGATTCTGAACTCCCGGCGGTATTGCCCTTAGCTTCGCTGACAAACCCCCCCCCCCCTCACCACGTTAAGGTGTGCATCCAAGAGGGATAAGGGACAGTTGGAGGCAAGCAGGAAAAGAGGAAGACCCAACAGGAGGTCAATTGTCTCAGTCAGTGAAGCCATGGCCTTCGGTTTGCAAAGAAGAAGAAGAGATTGGATTTATACCCCATGGCCCTTCACTACCAAAAGGTGTCTCAGAGCGGCTCACAAACTCCTTTCCCTTCCCCTCCCCACAACAGACACCCTGTAAGGTGGGTGGGGCTGAGAGAGCTCTTTTTCAAGGACAGCTCTTGTCAGAACTACAGCTTGCCCAAGGTCATCCAGCCGGGTGCAAGTGGAGGAGTGGGGAATCAAACCCGGTTCTCCCAGATTAGAGTCCGCACACTTAACCACTAGACCAAACTGGCTTGAGCTAAGATGCTAATGACAGGACCTTTTGGAAGTATTAAGACTTAGTAAAGTAAAGGTTCCCTTGCTTGAAAGCCAGTTGAGTCCGACTCAAGGATTGCGGTGCTCATCTCCGTTTCAAAGCCGAAGAGCCAGCGCTGTCCGAAGACGTTTCCGTGGTCATGTGGCTGGCATGACTAAACACCAAGGCTCATGGAACGCTGTTACCTTCCTACCAAAGTGGTACCTATTTATCTACTTGCAATTTCTTGCTTTCGAACTGCTAGGTTGGCAGTTTGCTTAGGGTTGCTGTAAGTTGTAAGCGACTTGAAACGGCACATAACACGCACGCACATGTATAAGTAAACAGATTCAGGTGGGGTTGCCGTGTTGGTCTGAAGCCGCAGAACAAAGTTTGAGTCCAGCGGCACCTTGAAGACCAACAAAGTTTTATTCAAGGTAGAAGCTTTTGTGTGCACGCACACCTTTTCAGATACAGTGAAACAAGACTTCCTCAACCATTACCTACTGGCAGAGAGAAGGGGGTGGTTAGTTGCCAGGAAGGGCTAGTTAGAGTCAAGAAGCATAAGTGACTGGGCAGTTAGAGCTGAGATTGGATTAAAGCAATTGGTACGATCTGTGAATGGGAGTAAATTAGCATACAAATAACAAGAGTTAAGAGACAGTGAGAATGACGTTTGAGTCCAGTGGCACCTCCAAGACCAACAAAGTTCAATTCTGGATAGAAGTGAGAAATGAGAGACTTAGCTTGTGTAGATGCACACTTCTTCAGATATACTGAAATAGACTTCCTCAAATGTTACACGAAGGGGGGCTCTCCGCAGGGCTTCCCCGGCTCGCCCACTTCGGCGGGCGGTCCGGGGGAGGCACGGGGAGGCATTTAAATGCCTCCCTGCACCTTGCCGGACCTTTCCCAGCTCGCCTGCCTTGGTGGGCTGGCCAGGGAAGGGGGGGGGCAGGGCTCTCTCCAGGCTTGTTGCTGCCAGAACGCCATCCCGGCTCGTTCCGGCAGGAAATGACTCCTGGTCACGTTGGTCTGAAGCGGCAGAACAACGTTTGAGTCCAGGGGCGCCTTTAAGACCAACAAAGTTTTATTCCAGGTGTAAGCTTTCGTGTGCATGCACGCTTCTTCGGGTACTGTGAAACAAGACTTCCTCAACTATTACATAGAGGCAGAGAGAAGGGGGTGGTTAGTTTCCAGGAAGGGCTAGCTAGAGTCAAGATGCCTAAGTAACTAAGTACTTATAAGTAATAGGTGAGATTGGATTAAAGCACTTGGTAAGATCTATGAATGGTAGTACATTAGTATACAAATAACAAGAGTTGACAAACCATGAGAATGAAGTTTGAGTCCAGTGGCACCTCCAAGACCAACAAAGTTCAATTCTGGATATAAGTGAGAACTGGGAAGACTTAGCATGCGTAGATGCACACTTCTTCAGATATACTGAAATAGATTTCCTCAAATGTTACCTATAGCTGAGGGGGTTTAGTTGCCAGGAAGGGCTAATTAGAGTCAAGATGCATAAGTAACTGAGCGATATATACAGCTTAGGTTGAAATAACACCATTGGTTAAGGCTGTGAATAGCAGCAGATTAGCATACAGATAAAAGAGTTAACAACAGATGTGAGAACTAAGTTTGAGTCCAGTGGCATCTTTAAGGCCAACAAAGTTCTGGGTATAAGCAAGAACTGAGTGACTTAGTGTGTGTGGTGAGATAAGAAGCTGATATCTCTGTTAAGCCCTGAGGGTTCCATTGTCCGAAATAGGGAGGCTCGTGTTGATGGTTTAGCATGACTAGCCAAACTCTTTATCATGTTTGTTTAGAAGCAGAGTCAAAGGCAGGGTTTTGACATTTCAGCTACTCCTGTCTCCTTTCCAGGACCGCAAGAGGCAGTACGAACTTGTCAAACTGGAGCAAGACTTCCAGAAGCAAGCCAGTGTCCTCCGGCGAAAAGCTGAGGAGGTAGGTGGTTGCAGACTACCCTGTCCCCTTCCCAGTTTTTTACAACAATTTGACAAGACTGAATTTTTTAAGAGAGTTTGCACAGAGGCAAGAAAGTGATTCTACAGTCTGAGTCCCTAAACAAGAGGAGGGGGGGGAATGCTTGAAGTCTTCCTTCTTCCGATTGTGTCAAGGGCCAAAATGCCACGCTTGGAATGAGTTCTGTTTTTAAACTGGGCATATTTTGTTCAACTTTCCTTCCAAGATACGAGCGCATGGACCTGTCTTGTACCAAATTCAGAGCACGATCCACCTAGCTAAGTATTATTTCCTCGGACTGGCGGTAGCTTTCCAAGGTCTCAGGCAGAGAAAGCTTTCCCCCCCTTTTCCAGCAGCTTCTGCTTGAGATGTCTTTAAGCGGACATGCCAGAGATGTAACTTTGGACCTCAGGAGTTCTGTCACTGAGCCATGATCATGCTTCCCAAAATCACACTGTTCCCCGAATCTGGGGCTGAAATTCAAGACATCAGTTGACCCGGAGCTATTTCCACTTACGCTGACATCATTTGAACGGAGCTATTTCCACTTACGCTGGCTTAAATAAAAGCATAAACTTTGTGGGAAGGTGTTGGACTGTGGACATAGCTTAGGTGGACAGCAGTCCTCGAACAAGCTGCTCAGAGCTTTAACACTTCCTTGTAAAGACTGAAGCTCTGGGGAAGACTCCAAGTTCTTGATCACGTTGGCTCTCGTTTTCAATTTTTTTCAATTGTTATTGTTGTTAACTAAATTTCTGAATGGCCCCATCCCTGAGTACACAGGGTTCTGGGTGATTTAAAGGTAAAGGTCTCCCTTGCTCGAAAACCAGTCGAGTCCGACTCTAGGGTTGCAGTGCTCATCTCCGTTTCCAAGCCGAAGAGCCAGCGCTGTCCGAAGACGTTTCCGTGGTCACGTGGCCGGCATGTCTCGACACCAAGGCTTTAAAATTGACAGCTCAATTAATCCTAATGGCCCAATCCCCAGATGGCGTCTGGAGTTTTAGACTTTAGTCCAAAACCCTCTCTAGACTCTCCTTCCGAATCATGGGCAGGTTAGGAGGAGGCCAAAGCAGGCGAGATGGAAAAAGAAGAAGAGGCTGCCGCCAGCTGTGATGGAAAGCCGTCGCTGTCCTCAGCCCAAAGCTTGGCGGAACATCTCTGCCTTACGGGCCCTACGGAATTGCATTAAGTCCTGCAGGGCCTTGGTGGGAATTGGTAGAGAGTTCCACCAGGTCAGAGCCGGGCCGAGAAAGCCCTGGCTCTGGTCAAGGACAGCCAGATGTCTTTGGGGCCAGGGATTTAACACAAGAACTGCCGGCGCACAGAATTCCACGTTGTCTCAGTGTTGGGTAAAAAGGATCGCCTGTTCTCCTCACCGCTCTCAAGTTTTTGGTAAAGTATAAGAGAAGACATCATTATGTCTGCAGCTAAGAATCTTGCTTTTTTCAATATCTCACTATCACCCAACAACGAGGGATGTTGGGAAGCTTTGTTTCTAAAACGTTGCTTCTTGTTTGGCTGCGGATGAGCGGTAGACATTCAGGTCCCCCGTTGAGTAGCATGCAGGATATTCTTTCTCCGTCCTGTAGGCAGCTGCTGCCAACCGACGCTTGAAAGATGCCCTTCAGAAGCAGCGGGAAGTTGCCGACAAGCGGAAAGAGACCGTGAACCGTGGGATCGACGGCATCGCTAACCGGGTGAAGGTGGGGCAACTTCCGCTTGAGCACCACAAAGAGGTCCACGGGGGTGGAGCTGGCCTGTGCCGGGAGGAGGGAGGCGGGAGCCAGGAGGCGGGGCAGAGTTGGTGTCTGGGCTCTAGACGGGCATGTGGTGGCCAGTGCTCCCTCTGAGCTGTGGAGTCTTGTGAACAGAAATCCTACTCTGTGACCTGCCGGCATTAAAGTGGTGAGGGAGCGATTTGGCTGCTGCAGAAATCAGTCTGCTCTGGAGCCACATCCTTCCTGAGCGGAGACAAAAATGCGTGAGCCGGAGGCTAAAGAACCTGTGAGCTGGCTCGCACGAACTCAGCTTAGAGGGGGCACTGGTGGGGACCCCTGGAGGAGTGTGGGGGAGTACTGGGCTGTCAACGTGGTGCCCACGGGCACCAGGGCACCCACCAACCGTTTTCCTAGTGCCCACCAAATGTTTGTAGAAAATAGGGGGGGCTTTTGCCCAGCAGAGCCATTGGAGATCTGATTGGCTCCACAGAGATTTTAAAAGTTGCTTCAGCAGCTTCTTCCAGCCCAGCACAAGGATCTTCACTGTGTTTTTAAAAAAAGATGATCTTTTTTTTAAAATGTCCGTTTTAAAAGGCATCCTGTTAGACAGAGCTTCTGCCTCAAATGTCGAAGAGTTACTTATAATCATGCATAACCTTGCTTCGTGACATTTTGTGGTTTGCTCCGCCTCCCGTGGCAGCCATTTTTGGCCCCGCCTCCCGTGGCAGCCATTTTGTAGTCGGCCCAACTACCCTGTTGCAGAATTCCCAAGTTGCCCACAGACTCAGAAAGGTTGGGGGCCCCCTGCCGTTGAACTCCAGCCATACCGCTTCCCTCCTCTTGTCCAGAGCTGGCTCGTGAACGAAGTCGAGGTCCTCGTTCGCATCGAAGAGGCTCGGAACCACCTCAATGACCTTCTGGAGGACAGGAAAACGCTGGCCCAGGAGATCGCGCAGCTGAAAGAGAAGCGGGACGCTGGAGAGATCCTTCCCTTGAAATACAAGGTCAGCAGAGAAACTGGCCCCCGAGCAGACACGTGGAGGACCTCTGGCAGTGGGCGGCTTCCCACCTGCTTCTCAGTTTGCCAAAAGAGGGGGAGCTCTACTGGGATTGGCCCTCTGGGCTGAGTCCCTCGGAGGGCCCTCGCTTGCCTCCCGAGGACTCAAATTCTCGCTTTCTTCCAGAGGCGCACCTTCTCTCACAGAGCTATGGAAATCAACCATTCCATCACGAAGCAGATCGAGAGCCTCGAAACGGAGATGGAGCTCAGGTAGGCGTCTGGGGCCCTCCCGTTAGAGAAGCGGAGCTCGGTGCTGGCGCTGGCCTCTTCGTTTGGGAGTCCATCATAAGAAAGTTTTGCGTGTGGCTGTTTCAAGGTAGAAGGAAGCGAGAGGGAACAAGCGGGTTCTCCCACGGGCCTGTAGGAACGAGTGGAACATGCAGGGGTAGGGAAGGGATGCTGGGGGGGGGGGGGGAGAAAGGGGGGGGGGTACTGAACGTGCCATGCTCTTGTGCTGCACCCACTGACTCGAACGGCTGTGGTCTCGTCCAAGACTAGGCATTGTGGGTTTGCGGAAAGATGAGCTAGATTAAAGTGGCCCCTGAGAGACGGGCACGATTTTCAGGGTGTGGGCAGGTAGTTCCACAGGGTAGCTATGTCGATCTGCTGTAGAAGAGCTACGTTCGAGTTCAGTGGCCCCTTAGAGACCGCCAGGGCTATTTTTGGGCAGGAACGCACAGGAACGGAGTTCCGGCTGGCTCCCAAGTTGGCCACGCCCAGCAGGAACTCATTAGCATAATAGGCCACACCCAACAGCAGAAACTCATTCGGATTGGCTACAATTAGGGGTGTGTGGCCTAACATGCAAAAAGCCCTGGGTTTTGACAACAAACAAGATAAAGAGAATAAGAAGCAAAAGGTGGGTGTGGCTGGATGACCACGCTTCTGGCAACATGGGGGTGTGGCCTAATATGCGAATGAGCTGTGCTGTCAGGGGTGTGGCCTGATATGCTAATGAGTTCCTGCTGTTGGGTATGGCCTATTATGCTAATGAGTTCCTGCTGGGCTTTTTCTACAAAAAAAGCCCTGGAGACCGCCGTGGTTTTTTGAGTATAATATCTGCAGAAAGATGGTGTTTTGCTCCCTAGAGGTTTTGTAGGGAACTGCACTTTATGGAGATTCAGGTATGTCGCCATGTTGGTCTGAAGCCACCGAACAAAGTTTGAGTCCAGTGGCTGCTTTAAGACTAACAGAGTTTTATTCTGAAGAAGTGCACCCGCACACGAACGCTTACACGCAGACTTAAACTCTGTTGGTCTTAAAGGTGCCGCTGCACTCAGACTTTGTTCTGAAGTCCAAACTGTATTTCTTTGTTTCCTGCGTACCCCGTCCTGTTGTCTACATTGACTGACACCTTAGAGACCACAGGAGGATTTTCAGGCTGTAAGCTTTCACGAGAGACCAAGTATTTGAAGAAAGGAGCTTTGACTCTTGAAACCTCATACCCCAAAAATCTTGGAGAGCCAGTTTGGTGTAGTGGTTAGGAGCGCGGACTCTAATCTGGGAGAACCGGGTTTGATTCCCCACTCCTCCACATGCAGCTGCTGGGGTGACCTTGGGTCAGTCATAAGTTCTTTCAGAGCTGTTCTCTCAAGGACAGTCCTCGAAAGAGCTCTCTCAGCCCCACTTACCTCACAGGGTGTCTGTTATGGGGAGGGGAAGGGGAAAGAGATTGTAAACCGCTCTGAGACTCCTTCGGGTAGTGAAGGGCGGGGTATAAATCCAATCTCCCTCCTCATCTTCCTCTTCTTCCTGTTCATCATCTCTACAGTGCACCTGGACCCAAATCTAGATGTATTTTATTTGTTTTCCTGGCTTGTACTACTTCTGTGCTGCTTTTTTGCCTGTGGGGCACCATGCAAGAAAAGATGGTACAGTAAAGATTTTTTTTTTTTTAAGGAACCAGGGCAACAGTGCTAGGGAGGAGGAGGAGGAGGAGGATGGTAACGGCGACTCCCATGCAGTGTTCCCTCTAAGCCGAGTCAGTGTGAGCTAGCTCACAGTTTTTTGGCCTCTGGCTCACACATTTTTGTCTCAGCTCAGGAAGGACAGCTCCAGAGCCAACTCATTTATGCAGCAGCCAAATCGTTCGCTCACAACTTGAATGCCAGCAGCTCACAAAGTAGAATTTTTGCTCACAGGACTCGGCAGCTGAGAGGGAGCATTGCTCCCAAGTGCTTGGCTGTTGCTGCTGTTGGTTTTTTAAAGATTCCCCAGGGACCCTGGGAAATACAAAGCCCCGCCCCCTTACTTCTTCCTCCCCCAAAGCGTGTTACCCAGTAGTCACAGCAGCTAGGTAGTCCTTCCCAGTTTTTATGGGGGGGGGGGGGGTTCCCTTCCCTGCGGCTGCTTGCTCTCCCTGGCAGCACTGGACACTTGCGGTGAAGGCTCTTGGTCTCTTGTCGTTCTGAACAAATCGTAATATTCTTGGCAACTGCAACCGATCTCTTCTCAGGAGCCAGCTGGAACTCCGTTCCTGTGCGTTCCTGCCCAAAATTAGCCCTGGTCCTTCCCAGTTTTTATGCCGGGGGGGCGGAGGGCTGCTGCTTGCTCTCCCTGGCAGCACTGAACACTCGCGGTGAAGGCTCTTGGCCTCTTGTCATTCTGAACAAATCGTGATATTCTTGGCAACTGCAACCGATCTCTTCCTGTATTAAAACGTGTTTCTGGTCCAATCAGGTTGTGACACCCCCTTAGACCCATGTGCCGTTATGAACTTTTCTCTCCCCCCCCACCCCCCAGTTCTAAAACAGGCGTTCCCCTTCTGGTCAGTAGCAGCTGCCCAGAGGAATAGTTAGATTCAAGTCCGGCAGCACCTTTAGAGGTTCACAGGGTTTTCCGGGCAATCAGCTTTTGAGAGTCACGCCCTTTAAGGTCAGAGATCTCTTGAAGGGCGCTCTGACTCTTGAATGCGTCTGCCCTGAAAATCCTACTGGTCCCTCAGGTGCGACTGGACTCAAACCCAGCTCTTCTACAGCAGAACAACACGGCGACCCTGTGCAACTCTCCACACAAGGAGGGTGCCACTTTTCACGAGCCTGGTGCCAGATTGGCCGCTACCAGGGCCTTCTCAGTGGCGGCTCCACACTGGTGGAATGAGCTCCCGGAAGACATCAGGGCTGTAAATCGGAGCTCTTCCACCAGGCCTTCGATCAGGAGCCTCCACTAGCACGTGGATGACCTCTGATGAAGGTTGTCGAGTGTTCAAAGAAGACCAGACACAAACGGCTGCAGGAAACTCTGTGTCTCAGCCAGGCTGGGGCACAATATTTATTGAAAATTTCCCCCTCTGTCCCCTCCCTTATTTCTCCCTGCGTAAGGGAAAGTTACAAGCATACGATCATTTTATGGAATGTGTTGATCCCGAAAGCTCACAGCTCCTTATCTCTTGTCCCTCTGCCAAGGTAGCTTCTCACGATGAACTCAGCACATCAGCAGATGTTTCTGCCTTGTGTAATTAGCCTGATACCTGGGTTCCCAATTTCCAGCCAGGAGAGCAGTGAATTCATTCGGGTTTGCCACGCAGATGTCTGCACTGCTCTCCTACACTCTGAACTGCTAACAACGGAACAGTCAAGGCCCTCATTTTGAGAGCCACAAGAACCGCTAATGCTACTGGTCTGGCCACAGTGTACGCTCTTGTTGGGTGTGGGTGATAGCGAGATGTTGAAAAAATGGTATTTAGCAGAGATAAGATAGTCCAGCAGAGCCAGAGTAAAATAATTCAGACTGAGAGTCCATGTGTGATCAAAATATAAAGTTTTTACTAAATTCTAGCATGGGAAGGGTAACTGGGATGAAAATAACAACAGAGCATAATCGGCTACATCCTTACTCTACAAAGACAAAACTAGAAGAGAAGAGATTATGGCTACTCTTCTTCTTCTTCAGAACACCAAAACAAAGACGGGAAGAGAAGCCATAAAATGGTAATACACCTTGACACTTTAGTCCCAATCAAATCCCTAGATCAGGGAGAAAATTCCCGGGCATTCCTACATCTAAAGAACATTGGTTACATGAGAAACATGTGACTTCCTGTGAGTAACATAAACAAACACTTAACCCCAGATATACTGAGTGTTTTCAACTTGTAATACCCAACAGCTCTACCATCTAACATAGCCTTGGAGAAGCGACCACCATCCACATGCAACAGCACTTTATTCACAAATTTGATTGTCTGAATTTTAGACTATTGCTCTGTCGATGCAGCTGTGTTTTATTGTATTGATTCTGTTGTATTCAGCTTGTTGTGAGCCTGCCCATGCGAGGAGGGCGGAATATAAATCGAAAACCTAAACAAACAAACAAATAAATAGATTATCCAAACGAGGCGGGAACAAACGGGCAGCGTCTCCGAGAGACTTTCCCCTTGACCGTCCTGTGCTCTCTTCCTCCAAAGGAGTGCCCAGATTGCAGACCTGCAGCAGAAGCTGCTGGAGGCGGACAGCCGAGACAACAAAAAGCAGCGCTGGGAAAGCATCACCACCATTCCGGAAGCCAAGTGTGCCATCAAGTACCTGATGGGTGAAGTAAGCATCGCTGGCAGAGCGCCCGCTTGCCGTGCAGCAGGTCCCACGTCCAGTCCCCGGCCCCTCCAGCCGAAAGGATGAGGTAGTGGGCGATGGAAAAGACCCCGGAGAACCGCTGCCCATCCGAGTCGACAGTGCTGACTTCCACGAACCAATGGCCTGATTCAGTATAAGGCAGCTTCACATGCTCTGAGGCGGGACTGTGGCTCAGTGCGAGAGCCTCTGCTTGCCATGCAGAAGGTCCCAGGCTCAGTCCCCCGCATCTCCAGCTAGAAGGGACAAGGCGGTAGGTCATGTGAAAGACCTCTGCTTGAGCAGACGAGACTGACGCTGATGGGCCAAAAGAACAAAATTTGAGTCCAGCGGCACCTTTAAGACCAACAAAGTTTAATTCTGGGTATAACCTTGTGAACATAAGAACACAAGAGCAGCCAATGTTGGATCAGGCCACTGGCCCACCCAGTCCAACACTCTGTCACACAGTGGCCAAAAACCCCAGGTGCCACCAGGAGGTCTAGCAGTGGGGCCAGGACACTAGAACCTAAGAGCATAATGCTGGATCAGGCCAGTGGCCCATCCAGCCCAACACTCTGCGTCACACAGTGGCCAGAAATACCAGGTGCCATCAGGAGCCCCCCCAGTGGGGCCGGGACACTAGAAGCCCTCCCACTGTTGCCCCCCCCCAGCACCAGGAATACAGAGCATCACTTGCCCCAGACATAAGAGCATGAGAGAAGCCAATGTTGGATCAGGCCACTGGCCCACCCAGTCCAACACTCTGTGTCACACAGGGGCCAGAAATACCAGGTGCCATCAGGAGCCCCCCCAGTGGGGCAGGGACACTAGAAGCCCTCCCACTGTTGCCCCTCCCCCCAAGCACCAAGAATCGAGAGCTTCACTTGCCCCAGACGGAGAGTTCCCATCTATACCTTGTGGCTAAGAGCCACTGATGGACCTCTGCTCCAGACGTTCATCCAATCCCCTCTTGAAGCCGTCCCTGCTTGTAGCCGCCGCCACCTCCTGTGGCCGTGAACCCCACGCATTCATCACTCTCTGGGTGAAGGAGGACTTCCTTTTATCCGTTCTAACCCGACTGCTCAGCCATTTCATGGGGTGCCCGCTTGAGTTCTTGTCTTGTGTTGGGCACGCACACGAAAGCTGCAACCCAGAGCAGAACTTTGTTGGACGTGAAGGTGCCGCTGGACTCAAAACTTTGGCGCGCTTCTTCAGACCAATGCGGCTCCCCACCAGAATCTATCTGACGGACCAAGTGTCTGGTTCAGTAGACGGCCGCTTCGTGTGTTCGTGTGAGTGGGCTGGGCTGGGCTGGGGAGGAGGGAGCCAGGTGCCCCTTCGCAAGCCTTGAGCCCTTGGGGGAGGAGGGACAAAGGAAGTAGGGGGGCGCCAGTCACCCCACACGTATAGGGAATTTGCACTTTGAAAGAAGATGTTGAGGGCAATGAGTGGGGGGAGCACTCTGCTTGCTGCCGTGGCCGGCTAGAAGCCCAAGTTGGTATACGGAACGAGTTTCCAGGGTTGATTTCACATCTGGCTGTTGCCCCCCCTCCCGCAATACCCCAATCTTTTAACAGCTGGTCTCCTCCAAAGTGGAGGACGGGAAACTGGACAGTCGCCTTCAGCAGAGCAAAGCTACCTGTTCCGACATCCACAAGATGCTCCTCGACGAGCGGAAGGCCGCGGCTCAGACGGAGGCGGAGCACGAGAGCCAGATGGTCCAGATGGAGCAGCAGCAGCATCAGGAGAAGGTTCTCTATTTGCTGAGCCAGATACAGCAGCACAGAGAAGAAGCCGAGAAGAGGCTGTTTCGGAGAGGGAGCAGCAGCTGCTCGAATGCCTCAACTTCCAGGATGAGGAGCTGGCAAAAATGAGGGAGGTCTTCGAGAAGAACCAGGAGCTGTGCGAAGAGCTGGAAGCCGTCAGGCAGAAACTGAGAATTCTTGAAGCGGCCAGCAGCCAGAAAATCTGCAGTGTTCCGCCAGCTGTTGCAGACGCAGAGTCTCCTTTTGATTACATTCCACCCAAGCCCAAGCCTCGCAGGCAGACCACGGCCAGGCCCCTGTCGGAGCCAACATCGGAGGAGTCGGAGGAGTCGGGAGGGGAAGTGGAAGATGCCGAGTGGTTGCCGGCAGAAATACCCGAAATACCCAGAGGAATCAAGAAGAACTTTCTGGGGGAGGGGATGCTCACGGAAGACTCGGGAGACTCTAAGACCTTCAGTCTGGAAGACCCCACTCTGGCGTCCGGAGGGGACACTTTCTTTGAGCCGCCGGCCGTCACGCCCACCAAGCAGGTCTTAAAGCCGGTCAACAGCCAAGAGTCCTCGGCCTGCGAGCAGAACGACACGACCTCCTTCTTCAATCTGGGGGACCTGGACACCGAGAACCAGCTGCCGGTGGTGAAGAGGAGGAGGAAGCGGTTCTGAGCAGCGCCAGCAGCTTCTTTGCCAGCTGCATTCCCATCAAAGAGGACTTTGTGGAGGGCTAACAGGGCAGAGGCGGTGGCGGCGGCCAAGAGACCCTGCTGGGCTTGACTTGGAATCCGGCGACACGCAACTCCGAAGTCTAAGAACTCTTTGACTCCTTTTTGTTAAGAATAGAGTGTATACATGAATTTGAATAACGACAAAACACCCAGGGTCTTAAGGACATACAGGCTAAAGATACGAAAGCAGAAAGGTTTGGTGTTTATTGGGGGAAAGGACAGGTTGGGACTCTAATCTGGGAGAACCGGGTTTGATTCCCCATTCCTCCACTTGCACCTGCTGATGTGACCTTGGGTCAGTCACAAGCTCTGGCACAGCTGTCCTTGAAAAAGAGCAGTTTGTGTCAGAGTTCTCTCAGCCCCACCCACCTCACAGGGTGTCTGTTGTGGGGAGGGGAAGGGAAAGGAGTTTGTAAGCCGCTCTGAGACTCCAAGTGAAGGGCGGGGTATAAATCCAATCTCCTCTTCTTCTTCTACCTTGTGCATCACGGGTCAGGCATGTAACTGTGGCCGCACATCAGGAGCATGTTATGCTTCTGTTCTCCACTTTCGTGCTCGGTGTCACGGAGATCCATGAACTCTTTGGCCCAACATACCTGTATAGTTCCACAGTGTCACCCCCCCACCCCCATTTTGAAATGGCCCGGCTAAGAACACTGTCTGATTGGTATCTGGCAATGACAGCTTTGTCTCTCAAATGCGTATTCCTTGAAGACCACGTTGGTCTCTACGGTGATATTGGGCCTGAATCTAGCTGATTTTTTTTTTTGCCAAATCATAAAAAAAGGTCACATAGAACAGCCAGCCTACAATGGGGTCACTCCTCTGTTGCAGAGACCGGCCAAATTGTGACCCTCTTCCCAGCAGTCTGGTCGGGTCTCTGCTCTTGACTGGTTTGCAGTCGAGCCATCTCCCCGAAGCCCTCCTTGCATTCACAGATCTGCTTCCTGTAGGACAAATGCGTCTGCCGTTATGACCTACAATACTTTTTCCCCACTTCAAACTACAGTGGTACGGTTATTCCCCCCCAACCCCAACCCCCGTTTACAGGTTCTGTATTTGCTGAGCCAGATACAGCAGCACACAGAAGAAGCCGAGAAGAAGCTCGAGACCTCTGTTTCAGAGAGGGAGCAGCAGCTGCTTGAACGCCTCAACTTCCAGGTACAGTAGCAGCTGGGGAGTTGCACTTGACGGGGAGATGCGGCTGCACCCCAGGGCAAGATCTCCCTCTCTAAAAGGGGATTCAAGTTCACAGCAGCCGGGGGAAGACCGGACTACTGGGAAGGTGCCAGTGCAGCAGTTGCTGTTCCTGCAGAATGTCCAGTCGACCCAGAACTGTTAAGGCTGTAGCCAGTGTTGGGTGGTGGTTGAACCCGGAATGTGAGTTGTGAACTTTGGCTGGTCAGTTGCAGAGGGCAGCCCTTGTCGGACTGCAGTAGAAGAGCTAGGTTCGAGTCCCAACAAGATTTTGGGGAAATAAGCTTTCAAGAAGAAGAGGAGATTGGATTTATACCCCGCCCTTCACTACCCGAAGGAGTCTCAGGGTGGCTTACAATCTCCTTTCCCTTCCCCTCCGCACAACAGACACCCTGTGAGGTAGGCGGGGCTGAGAGAGCTCTTTCAAGGACTGCCCTTGAGAGAACTGCTCTGAATGAACTTGTGACTGACCCAAGGTCATGCTAGCAGCTGCATGTGGAGGAGTGGGGAATCAAACCCAGTTCTCCCAGATTAGAGTCCCCGCTCCTAGCCGCTACACCAAACTGGCTCTCGCTCCCTTCATCAGATACAAGTAGTGTTGGGTGTTACAAGTCAAAACACTTCAGTATTTACAGGGTTAATGATGTTTGTTAAGTCACGTGTTTGTTTGTAACCAATCTGTTTAGACAACAGGATGCCCGGGAACTTTGGAGCTAATTTGCTAGGTCTGATTGGAAACCAAGGTGTCAAGTATTTAGCATATTGGCTTCTCCTCCCGTTCTTTGTTCTGACTGAGAAGGAGACGCTTTTCCGGCTCTCCCCGTTTTACCTTTTAGCTGCAAGGATGTAGGCACATTAGCTCTTTGTTATTTTCCTATCCTGTGTACCCTTTTCCCCCTGTTAGGTTTATAGTAAACTTTTATGTTTCAATACACACCGTGGACTCAGTCTCTTCATACTCTGCTGACTTACTCAAAAAGAATCCCAACAAGTAGGAATGGAGGTCCCTCAAGGATCCGACTTGTATCTGATGAAGGGAGCTGCGGCTCTCGAACGCTCACGCCCCGGAAATCGTGTTGACCCCTAAGGTGCTGCTGGACTCGAATCGAGCTCTTCTTTGGCAGGTCACATTCCCCTCGGCCCGGGTTAAACCACCACCGTCTGTGCTTCTTGTGGGCAAAGAGTGCGGAAAGTTAGGGTAAGAATAGACAACAAAACTACCACCAGAGAAGCTCAAGGATCTGTCCTATAAGAGTATCGGAGCTTTGGATTTCAGATACCAACGTCTCATTCTTAGTAGCCTGCTTTAAGCATGCTTAGAGGGTCTGATTCAGCACGCTTAAAGCAGGCTACTAAGAATGAGGCGTTGCTATCTGAAATCCAAAGCTCCGATACTCTTATAGAAGGACAGATCCTTGAGCTTCACTGGTGGTAGTTTTGTGTGTGTGTGTAGTGCTGTCAAGTTGCAGCTGACTTATGGTGACCCCAGCAAGGGGCTTCCAAGGGAAGGGAGAAGCCGGGGTGGTTTGCCATGGTCTTCCTCTGCAGAGCCTTCCTTGGTGGTCTCCCTTCCAAGTACCGATGCTGCTTAGCTTCTGACTTATGGCGACCCCAGCAAGGGGCTTCCAAGGCAAGGGAGAAGCAGGGGTGGTTTGCCATGGCCTTCCTCTGCAGAGCCTTTCTTGGTGGTTCCCCTTCCAAGTACCGACCCTGCTTAGCTTCTGAATTATGGTGACCCCAGCAAGGGGCTTCCAAGGCAAGGGAGAAGCAGAGGTGGTTTGCCATGGCCTTCCTCTGCAGAGCCTTTCTTGGTGGTCTCCCATCAAAGTACTGGCCCCGCTTAACTTAGACTTATGGCGATCACAGCAAGGGGCTTCCAAGGCAAGGGAGAAGCCGGGGTGGTTGGCCCTGGCCTTCCTCTGCAGCGTCCTCCTTGGGGGTCTCCCTTCCGAGTACCGACCCTTGCTGAGCTTCCGAGATCTGAGGAGACCGGGCTCCACCGGGCTGCCTTCCGTCCCGCTGTCAACGTTCAGGCCATCAAGTATTACAAATCTCTCAGTGCACGGGTGACCCGGCGCCAGGGGTTTTCCAGGCTGGAGGTAAACCGAAATACCTTTTCCACCCCGCCTTTGTGAACAGGATGAGGAGCTGGCAAAAATGAGGGAGGTCTTCGAGAAGAACCAGGAGCTGTGCGAAGAGCTGGAAGCCGTCAGACAGGTAGGCAGTCGGGGAGGGGCGGCAACTGGCAGAGGGAAGCGGCCTCGTCCCTGTCCTACGGTTTGTCATCTATTGCCTCT